AGTATGATCGGCCCACCAATCGTGTTTCGGTTCTGCCTCTACGCAACACCTTTGGCACATCATACACCTTGTTGAGCTTGCCGAATGCATCATGCCCATGTCAACCGCTCCGCCCGCATATACCGGCCGGCCTTGCTGAACTGCCCGGGGCTGATCAGGCTGCGGCTGACGACCAACTAGAGATGAACCCTCTAGGGTCTATTCATGACCTCAGCTACCTAGCAATCCGCTCGACCAGGTATTTGACAACTAAGCTGGGCTGACTGGGGCAGCCAAGTCCACATTCTTCTGAGTGATCACTACCCGCGCAAGCAGAGATGCTCCTTGCACCCCCGGCGCCCTCAGATAGCTCTAGTACCAAAGCAGAACCTGATTTGGAGATGCAGTGGTCTCCTTGAGGATGACCACGATACTGGCAGCATACCGGTCTTGTGGGGGCAAAGGTACCAGTGAGCTTGATGATGGACCGTTCTCCATCCCGCAGCCTGCTGCTCCAGCATCCGCCATGGCTCAATATCCTGCAGCCTAGGTTATACATATGTTCTATTGTAGTCTCCCGTCATTCAATGTGCACTTTGATGTATCGAACACGAACGAACGTGAGCTCTGAGGCTCTGTGGGCGCCATTCTGTTGCAGGGAGATCTCGGATCGGGGCGGATTTCGCATTGCACAAAATCATGATTTCGGTCGTACGAATCTCAGACAAAAACCAAGCCTCAAAGATCACGATAGTCCGGATCCCAAAATTTGCCAGATCTTGAGCTCCACAGTCTCATCCGTGCAGCTGTGTAGACAAGCGTATTGATTGACTCTGATGTAGTCAAAACCAATGACAAGACTCACGCTTTTAACCTCGCCACGCATCGCACATTCCTTCCCGACTACATGCTGAGTATTGTGAGCAGCGTTTGAACGTCTGATGGTATACAGCTGATTGTATATCATGAATGTTCTCTGCGACTGACCGGACTACGTACAGTACAGACTGTGTGCCAGATTTGGACCAGATCATCAATTCGGGATCTTTTTGACACTTCCTATAGCGGGGATAATTAGCACAACATTCTAGCCATGAAATTCACTTCCCAAATCGCCAAGCCGCAGAACCGCAACTACGAGAACAGCAGTGGCAGGGCAGCGAAGCCACAGTATATTAGCTTATAACAAGAGAAATCAAACAGCCTTCGACGCGCCGCGTTACGCGACGTGTCCTACACGACCCAAAGAGTAGAAGTTTAAGCAGAAGGATATAACGATAAACTAATGAACGCAGTGTTTTATAGCTTTCGAGAAGAAATGAATGTGCATAGAAGCCAGCGCTGGATTATACTGTGCGGCGCTGGGCTTTAACCATCAAGTCGGGTCCCACGAAGTGAGGCAGGTAAAGATCTCTCCACACCCAGTCCGAGGGTCTGTACATTAACTGTCAGCACAAGGTACAAGAAACATAGTAACAGACAAGCCATACCCAACGCCATCGAGCTTCAGGTCATACCGGCGGACCAGATTCGCAATACTCATATAAAGTTCGCACCATCCAAGGCTGCAGAATACTGTCAGTGCGCTGATCGATACGTGTCATAAACGACGGCCTACTTGATACCGAGGCAGCTACGAGGGCCTTTTGAAAACGCGACCAGCCAAGTGTCCAAATCGCCCTCGGAGTCAAGCCAGCGCTCAGGTTTGAAGGCACAGGCATCGCGAAATATGTCTTCGTTCAGGTGGACGAAGGTATTGCTTATTCCAACGACGCTCTATCCTCGATGAGCCGAACGAAATACAGCAGGGAGCGAAACGGCGCTCACACCACCAGGGATAAACCGCCCAGAGATCTGCGCGCCCTCTTTGGGAACGACACGCGTCATAGGCTGCACAACGCCATGGGTAGTGCGCAGACTCTCTTTGAGGACCGCCGTCTACATGGATCACGGTGAGATATCTCAGGCTCGAGCCGGTAGCACGACGGCGTACAAGATAGGGGAGCTTCTCCAGCTGCTCAAAGCGCGGAACATTGTCGAGGTTGGGCCACGCCTCGACAAGTTCCTGCTGCAGCCTCGCGAGAATCTCCGGGTTTGCCAGAATGTTGAGCACGCCCGCGATGATGGTGTTGCTTGCTGTGTCGGTGCCAGCGTTCACGAAGAGCACGGCCTCATCGCGTAGGGATTTATCGGAAGGGATGTTCTTAGGGTCTTTCAGGAACTCGTGATAAATCGTGGGCTGGTGGTAGTCCGCCAGCGCCTGCGGGTTAGTTTTGGCTTCCTTGACCTGGTCTGTGAGCATCTACCCGGAAGAATCAGTTCCTCGGTCGTGCAGCACAGGCGGTGGTAAACTCATGTATCTACCTTGCGCATTTTCGCGTACCCATCCAGCTCCGGTCGGAGATTAACGAGGAGCCAAGCAGGCATCATGCTTACGAGCTTCTGAATCATCGGGAAGTGCTTGAAAATCACTGTGACAGGCATTGCAGCATGTAAAGAAGCGATGACGGGCGCGCTGAAGTCCGGTTCACTGGTCGCGTTCATGCTACGTGCGAAGCATATAGTGAAGACTATGTCGACCGCACAGCAGCGAAAGGCTTTGTAGATATTGACAGACTTGCCCTCCTTAATGTGCTTGTCGATGTTCTCGCAAGTCGTGTCCAGCTGCCGAGCCTCATTAGCGAACATCAGGACCTCAAGGCAAGTCGTACGTACACACTGTTGAACCAGGTGCTGCATCTCAATGACATTCTTGCGAGAGAAGAGCGGGATGGAGATATCTCTTCGCTTCTTCGCAGTCGGATAGTCCGGGATAGTAAGTGTAGACACCTCATCCGCGAAGATGTGGTATAACTTCATGTCCCTATCCCACCGGTTCTTGACATTGTAGATCTCATGATAGGCAGAGGGCTTCGCGAAGTGGAGCTATACACAGCCCGCGTAAGTCAGGTGGAGGCGCGAGACCGGGCGAGAACCTCACCTCATTTGGGGCGACTCGAACAATGTCACCTACCGAGCACAATTACATGTATGCTGCATGCTGAAATCTGCTCACACTCACCGAACTCCTCGTGCAATTTGACAAGCTTCTTCGAGAGACTCTCGGCCTTGAATACCTCGATGTATGCTTGCCACCAGTCGCTAGCAGCGGCAAGCTTTGGCCCCGGGAACCTCGCCAAAGGATGGAAGTATAGGTTGTATACGGCTTTGACAGCACTGTATAGCACCCACGAAGGAAGTACTCCTTTCCAAATGAGAGAGAGAAAGTCGGGTGATTCTAAGGATAGGCCAGGCATCATGGCGATAAAACAGAAAAACAAGCTGCGAGCAGTTCCTTTATAAAGGGCCATCCCCGATCCCGGTCGCTTCCACAAGGTTTCAGCGGCGCCATGATGGGCTTCTTGCAGGGCTGTGCAGTTTCCGTCGTTCGGGAACCTTGCTAGATCTACTAGACCTAAAACAGCAGAGCCGCAGTGCGTGTGCATGAAGGCCACCCTCGGTATGCATGCATGGCGAGTCGGCCGCACTGATTCGCCCTGTAGCGCGACGCTAGCTGCAGCCAAGACACAGGCCGACTCGGCAGCACGGCGGGGTGGGGGGCAAACGCCCTGATCAAAAAGGTCTTGGAGCCAGGCTTCAGCGCCAATTTGAAATGGAGGCGTCTGACAGGATGGAACTTCGTGAGTCCTCAAAGCCTCAAGTCTGCTGCGAGCTCTGTAGACGAGAAAAACAATTTCTCTGTGCTACAAGTCACAGGATAGAAAATTACAGCAGGCGTACTGAGCTCCGTATACCTGGAAACAGTGGTGATCACTGATAAGTATCCAAAAATCAGAGGCACCGCTTCCAAGACAATTGATGTGGCGTATTGGTGTATACTTACCACCAGTACAAGCTTGCCACTATTACGTCTTGGTAAATAACGGGAACCTTAACATACGTGAGTACTCAAGTTCCACTTCCCTAACTCTTTCAATTTAGCAGACCATCGGAAAGCACCTCCTTGCGGGTATTGACAAGTCTTGGTCGAGCCATCGCAAAACGAAGGTACTGACAGCCTTAGATTAAGTGCTTTGCACAAAGATCTGTTAATAGATAGGCATAGAACGAGCTTGTGGGGCAGATCTGGGTAAGTGAAAGGTGATATAGCTAGACACTTTTATACAGACCGCTAACTCGTGATTTTAGCAGGACTAGCGCATTAATTGTTTCAATGTACGAACAATAGCCGGCCGCACCACATACTTGAGCGTAAGACACGCTCGGGCACTTGCCACTTACGCGTGACGTAACGTACAGAGCGCAGTGACCGTCACACTTTGCACGCAGCATCTGGCGCCTACAGTTATTCCTCTACTCCCGCCTCTACTGCTATGGTCCCGTCCAACCTTGCCATCCTCACAAGATCGCATCGGATAGCCGCGCAGAAAAACCGTGCGAAGAAGGGCCAGGTCAAAGAGGTTGTGTTCGACGAAGATGCCAGACGGTAAGAGCGAAGGCCTGCGCAAGGCACATGCGGGGCATCTAATGTGCAGTTGGGTGTAAGGGAATTCTTGACGGGCTTCCACAAGCGTAAGCTCCAGAAGAAGGAGGCTACAAAACAAAGGGCACTCCAGAGAGAGAAGGAGGAGAGACTGAATGCTCGGCGAGAGGTATGTATAGTGAAGGTGTCCATACCCTCGCAAGGCTGACACCAGGTGCTAGAATCGACGAGTGCTTGCCGAGAGAGCTGCCAAGAACGCAGCTGAAGTGGAGGAGGCATACGGTGCTACCGTTGACGATGAAGGTATATCCGTCGCGCTCTTCTTGTCGAGACGTTATCCAATTCCTTTGCTCGTGCAGAAGGTGATGAGCGGGATGGACTTGGCGAGCCGTCAGACAATGGAAAGGGAAAGGGAAAGGCTGACGAGAGAGAGGAAGAATATGAGGGAGAAGAGCATTTAGCGACCGTCATCGTCGTCGAAGATTTCGATCCAGACCACCTTCTGCACGGACCGAAGCAGAAAACTATCATGGACGAAGACGAGGATGGAGACGTCAAGCAGTTTCCTCTGCCAGAATCTGTCTTGAAAGAAAAACCAGAAACAATAAAAACGAAGGCAACTACCACAACGAAGAAATTGCAGGCGAGGGATCCGAAGAAGATCAAGTATCAGACGAACACAGCACGGAAAGCGGAGAGGGTGAAGCAGCAGAAGCGGAAGGTTGAAAAAGCGCAGCGAGCTGGAGGGAAAGGGTCGAGAAAGAAGAGTGGAAAGCGGTGATTACATGCTGTGTGCTCCCAGATTATCACCTGCGTATATATTCTCCAATCATGCCCTCTTGCAGACTGTCAAACGGACTCTATCGATCTATCCCCTTCTTCCACCCTACCCATACAGCATACGGTCCTTCCATTACTTCGTGGGCATGCCAGATATCCCACACACCTTCACCTGCTGCGAGCCACAATTCCAAGAACTCCCGCACGACATCTTCGGCTCTGAGCTCTACGATTACGAGAACGGTAGTCCTCTCCGGAGTGGCCAGATAATCGATAGTGTCCACAAGCGCAGGCAGCAAAGACGGATGGTAGATGCAGTCGATAACAAGCAAAAGATCCATTGGCGAATAGGAATATATCGAATGTCGCTTGCTTGCGGAGCAGTTCTGAAGGGCGACCCAGTCAAGTGCTTCTGCTGATACGCTCGCCTTCGTAGGAGCGCCTTTGGGAGGAGAAGGCGGGGTGTTGGGGACGCCATTCAGAGCGAGGTTCTTCTTGATGAGTGGGATAAGATCGTCGATGTCTGTCACCGTATAATGTTCCGCCAGAGGTGCGAAGATGACTCCAAGAAGGCCAGTTCCAGCCCTGAGAGTGCGGATGAATGTCGTTCACGACGCGCTTTGCAAGCAGTCTTACCCCAGCTCGAGTACATTCGCCTCCTGAAGACGCACGGAGTTTAGCAGGGCATTGGGGTCACGAGAGTGATATTGGCGGAGGACCAGTTGAGCAAACTCCGCGCTGCAGGATGCTTCAGCGTATGCTGAGAAGCGAAAGCTTTGTCGCGTACCTTGCTCGCCACAAGACGCTACCGGTATCTCCTTTCCGACTGTGCAGAGCCGTCTTGTCCTGTGCCAGCTGCACCTCTAGAGTCTCGAATTCTGTCTCAGTGTTCTTCTTCTTGGAAGACTTTCCCTTTGCTCTCCCTGCAGCCTGCGATTGCTTCGCGGGGTACGTGAATTCCAAACTTAGCACGTCCTTGTGGCGCTCCAGGTATCCGAGGCCTCTGAAGTTGTCTCCACCCTGCTCTGCACACGACTGCTTCCTAGCTAGATCCGTGTAGAGGAGAAAGACCTGGTAGACAGAGATGCAAGAGTAAAGTTACGATAGAGAGCTATACCGAGACTTGGAGAGTATTGCCGACCTCCTCATCCGCGTCGGTAATGAGTGATGAGCCTTCTGGCAGTCTGCAGAGACCGAGAGAAATCGGCTGGGAATCCATGCTAAGACCGAGATGGCGGTACAAACGAAGATGCGGCTCACTGCCCGCCCTCTCGTGACGGTGTGACCCGCCTATCTCCTTTTCTGGTGAATACACGTCGGTGACGTGCCGGATACACGCGCGCAGTCTTCCACCTTGATTTCGACTACGTCTATTAGCTCCCTCCTCTCCCTCTTCCATACTCTGCACAGAGGAAGGAATAAAGAAATACGATGAACTCACTGTACACGCTCGGCGTGCGCCAGACAAACTCCATCCAAAGCGACTTGGAGCGGCTACGAAACGGAGATTCGTCCGCGGCGTTGCTAGGTCTGCATCACTATTTTCTCTGAGCTTACGAACAACATGGGCCCCGGGGCGCGTGTCGATGTTGAGCGTGCGGTCTGACGTTCGGCAGGGCAGATATCCGCGTCGCTCGCCGCGATGGCACGCACCGTGGATGACTACGACTCGATGGCCAAGCGCGAGATGATAAAGGCAAAGCAAGAGAAGGCTATGATGTACGTTCTTAACTCCATGTGCGCAATGCTGGAGCTGACCATGCCTTGCGTAATATCTTTCTTGACCTGTTTATCATACCAGGCGTGTTCAGAAGTTCAGGTCCGACTACACAGACCTACGTGCCCAATTCGAGGTAATAAAAACCGAGGTGAGTCTCAACTAGTAGCTATATCGTCGCCGTTTAACAGTCTCCTTTATGCAGAGAGAAACAGCTTCACGTTCAGAACTTTTCGCTTCGTCAACATCGGCAGTGCCCATATCACCCGCGCCAGGCGACTCACGGCGACGCTTCCAATCGACACAACAATCTAGTAATACCGTATCAGAATCACCCTTCCGGGGGTCGGAAAGCCTGCCCATGTCCAACCTGCGCGAGGACCATGCATTGCGCGAGCATGACTTCGTCCGCAACACTGATTCACGGCTTGACGAATTTCTGGCGCAGGGTCAAGCTGTACTAAATGATTTGAAGGATCAGAGAAACATTCTCAAAGGCACCCAACGACGGTTACTGGATGCGGCGAATACTTTGGGGCTGAGTAGGAATGTCATTGGCTGGATTGAGCGGAGAAGGTGTGCACTGTCTTGCCTCTCTCCTACCTCGCGGTACGTGCTGATGTAGGAGCTTTCAACCAGTACTCAGGACATGTACATCTTCATCGTCGGAGCTATCTTCACATTCGTCTGCTTTTTCTTGATATGGAAGTATCTGGGCTAGATTTTTTTACTGTTTGTTCGTGCTGAATCTCTGTATTCAATGCCTTTGCACTTATGCCTCATGATATTTTGTGTCTGAAGCATTCGGACCATACCTGTTGATCTGTGGTAATTTGTAGCCTTACCTAGAAAGGGCGGAGGCTTCGTGGCGCTAGCCGTTCTCGTTCTTCGTCTCGGCCTTCGGCTTTGTCCTGCAACTTCCATTTTCTGTTCGGGAACGCGTCTTGGGACGCGTAAACGGCTTTGAATCCGTGGTATTTACTCTCCCAAAGCTGAAATACGCGTTGCAAAACATCGAAAATGACGGAATTAAGCCTCAAATTCACGTCCACTCCAAGTGCGGATACGGGAACGTACAGGCTCCTAGAACTCCCGTCGGAACTGCTCAAGGTCATAGAATCGGCAACAGACGGTGATGCAAGGTAACTCAGGGTCACTCTACCTTCACCCAACCCGCAGCTCATCATTGACCCAGTCTTATCATCAAAGGTCAACAGAACGAAGACGCCGTCCTCTGCACGCGTGAGAAGACATATGCTCTGCGTTCTGTCGTCCTCTCAAACTCGGTGCTCGTTGTCACGCCACCGACGGATGTCTTGGGAGATGCAAGAAAGGACGTCGTGATCCGCGACACGATACATGAAGTGCTCGAAGTTGTGCCGACGCTGCCGAAGCTGCAACGACTGGGTGGGATGCTGAGGGGACAGGAGTACGATGAGGGCCATGAGGACGAGGATGTGGATATAGAAGCTGAAGAGGAGAGACCGGTGAGTGTCATGGCCTTGTGTTGCAGGATTAAGCTTATCGCAGATATGTAGAGTAAGCGGCGCAGGCTCACCTACGAAGAAGCACAGGACATGCTGCAGGCGAGTGACCTTGAGCTCACTAAGGGCCTCAAAGACAGACGAATATTGCTGCTGTTTGGTATATCACGTCCCTCATCTTGGTTTAATTTCTTTTGAGCGTTCCTTCCGCCTAGGCGTACTCCGTCCAATATCCCGCTCGTACCTAACCGCCATCCTCGAGTTTCTCCTTACAGCACTCATTGCGAACTCTTTTCTACATCACTCGGTGCCAGAAGAAGAGCTAGTCTCTGTTCTTGAGCATGAGCATGAAGTCAAGAGAGACGTGACAAAGCAGGTCATGGCGTGGTTCGGTGAGCTTAGAGATGGAACGTGGAAGATGGATGTAGACGCGACAGTGAAAGAGGTTGGCTTGGGCATATTATGGGCGTATAAGGTAAATTTTGTACATGCTCCGGCACATTCTCCAAGCTCACGAAATTCCGCTAGGATGACCCAATACCTGAACCAGAGTTTGTGAAAAAGTGGCATACAGCAGTAGGCGACGCGTTCGAGTCTGCCGTCGACCTCAAGCTTCTCCTAGGCAACTATCTCTCGAATCCTGAACCGTCCGCCATTTCGCAAGGCCCTCTCATAAGCTACTTCCCCGCGTCCGAGCTGCCGCCTGACCCTGCAAGTCGCTTCGCAGACCTCTTCCTCACACGCTCGCGCTGGAAAGCAGACGAGATCTCGCCGTTCCTCACGGACATCGTTGTTGACAACAAAGAGCGGGACAAGCTGTTGCTCAAATTCGCACGAGCAATAACGGACAAGGATGGTGTGTGGTATACCGCACGAGCAAAGGCGGTATAAATTATCGAGGTATGGCATGCTGCAGAACTATGTTGTGTCTACGTCAGCTCGTCAATACATTCCAAGTCACCATACTGCATCATTCTTCAGCCTTTTCGCCAATCTGGAGTCGCTTAGGCCCAGGCTCGTGCCCATCAACCAGCTCAGCAGTGTAGACTCCTCTTTGATTCCTAGCTTTCGGTCAATCTGAAATGTAGTTCCTCAATAAGTGTCAGATAACTGTGCGAATTTGTCTGCGAAAAGGGTTCGTAGTGATGCAGCTTGTCATGAATATTACACATTCCGGATGGTTCTCCCGGATTCCATAGTATTCTTTCCCTTTCTATATACCTCTACATACTCGTAGGATACCCTAGATATTCAGTCTGACATGTATATAAGGAGCTCGTACTGCTCAATAACAAGCCAGACTCGAGCTGGTCTTTCCTCACCTATTTTCCTCTCGTCCGTCTCCTCAGCTTCGTCGTAACCCAGTCCAGTTGGATTGTAGGTTGCTGACACAGCTGGCATGCGCTCAGGCCCTAGGGGGCCAACCTGAGATCTCGAGCAGGGCGAGTAGAGTAGGGCGATAATAGAACTGTATGTAGACTGAGTAGAAGTGACGAACACGGCTGTATACTATCAGGGCATGCCTCCTTGAGATCGAGAATACGATGACTACGAGTACGATCGCGTCGTAACGTGTAGTCACGTGCAGTAGGCGTTTAGGTCCAAGCTCGCCATCTATGGGTCGAGCTACGTCATTTAGGGTGGTCAGCTCTATCTATACCCCGCTCGTCAATGACCTAATCTCTCTCTTCCCGACCACCCTCGACTGCCAGCAGTTGCACTCATATTTTATTCACTATATATACTCGAACGAGGTATGTTGTGCAAACTGCCCCAGGTTCTCACTGAAGATTTGTCTCAGCCAAGGATGGATGCTCTGGTCAACAGGTTGCAGCAAAAACTGCAAGAACACCAAGAGCACGCTGCTCTGCGAGATACGATATCGACTCTATGCGCGTTAAAAGGGGGTAGAAAGTGCGATGACGCAACGCGGGAAAGTTTGGGAAATAATTTGCGTGTACTACGCAAGGAGGGACTATGGACGCCAACGGCTGATGAGGAGATAACGCTTAGAGAGCTGCAGAAGGTTCGTACAGTGGATAGTGTAGCTTTCACTCAGCATTAATGCGGATCAAAATCAGCCAGGCTCCAGCTCTGAGGCACTCAGACTTACCGCGCACTCAGGGCAAGCGAGTCCTCGATTACCATTCTCGTTCGCGAGCCCAACAGCACTACCGATGGAGCTATACGGCATCCTAAATCAAGCGTACTATCTTCATCTACTTGCGACAGAGCCTGAAAATGTGCTTCCACCTGGAAAGAGCCTGATCTCAACACTGTTGAGGCCCCACGCTGAGCATCACGCGCAATCTGCACTTCATGAGCGCGTCGAAGATCTGGTACATCGAGCCTTTTGGGACGAGGTAAGCTGTTTTTGTGCGAGAGCCTCTGCGCGTCTCCTGAGATATATGCCTAGGCCCTTGAATCTCTTCTAAACATATCGCCACCAGTACAGCTCACTCGGCTGAAGCGACTGTACGAAGACCTATACATCGGACTTTCATCCTTATTGCCGAAGAGCCACCCTGTCCTTGTGACCCTATCATTGCCACTTTCGCCGACGTCTTCACCCCTTCGATCTGCAGTAATTCATCTCAGGGAGGTCCTGCAGAGCCTTCGGCAACGCTGTGCACCTGCACGAGATGCGCAGCTCGATGCGCTCACGCGGACTCTGTCAAATCTCCCGGCTGGTGCACTTCCCGAGGCTATCATACATGTTGTACGCTCAACGCTGAAAATCGCAGAGGAAATGAAAGACGACTTGTCGCAGTTTGTCCTTGGAACCATGAGCGAACAACAGCTGCGCGACGTGGTCATTACCGAGGCGGCGAGTCGCGAACGCGAGATCGTGCTGCAGCTTTGGCGTCTAGAAGTAGTCAGAGACAAATGGGAACGTTGGCTCGAGGAGATACAGTATCCGGTGGGTGCGGCCGATGCATCAATGACAGGCGAACTATCGCACGGAATGTTCACTCGACGCCTCATGATCGCTCTGGGCACCAACTACGCCGTTTCCTGCGATCTTCCTACTATCGCAGTCCATACATCTCCCTCGGGTACGCCAGAGCCAGAACCATCAGCAGACCCGCCTCCGCCGCTTCCTAACTCTCTGCCACCGCCTCTCCTCTTTATCACACCTTCGCTCTTGCACATCCAGAACTACCTACAAGCCCTGGTGATCACCGCATCACTCCGTGCGCTCGTGCGGATCCCGATGACCCCACTGAAGCGCAAGCACGATGCCGATGACAACGAGGAACTCTCAGAGCACAGCTTCCTCAAGCGCATCTGGACCCTGCTCAAGGCCGACATCGAAGGCGAACCGGCCGCGGACGGCCTGAAGCTCATGAACCTCGCGGACGAAGTGGTGCGCATCAGCCAAGCGTACGGCGGGACACTTCACCAGAACGGGGTAGACAAGCAGAACATGGAGGCGCAGCTGCGCGAGGCCGTGGACCGCACGCTGAAACCGACGGACCTGGTGTTCCAGCTGCTGCAGAGGCGGCTTTTCGGGGCGATCACGGACCACCTGGTGCAACATCCGCCCCCGCGGATGCGGAGCAAGGTGGCACCGGGCATGCACACCGGCCGCACGACAGGCAGGCTCAACGGCCACAAGCCGAAGCTCGAGCTCGATGGCCACGAGGGCATGCACCTCCAGCTCGACTTTGCGCGTGAGACGCTGAACGTGAAGGGTTTCGAGCATCCCGTCCTTGCGGGTGCCGTCTCGGACATCCTCCTAAAGCTCCGCGTGTGCATCGCATGGACCCAACTCGGCTGGACGGACCTGCTTGAGAAATCATAGGGCATGAAGAACGGCTGAACTGTACGATACATCAATTGTAAATGCATTGACCCTGCCGGCGCTGTCGACGGGTTACTGATGAGCTTATTTGACACCGGGCAGAGATAGACTCGCTAGCGTAATTCGCTAATCGTTATACCCTATTTTATCAAGCGTATCATCGATGCAAGTCGACGATAGAACTATCGATCAAACGTGTGGGTGCATGTGTATGCTCTCTTGGCAACATCCGGAGCCGTCGGCTTGTCCAAATACGGTAGATGTGAGGGAACACCGTTTGCGCACGCGTTCATTGATCAGGATAACTCAAGGCTTGCCGCAGACCCTGGTGACTTCGATACTCAAACAATGTCCAGGTATATATCACGAACACTTCAGGCGAGCTACAGGACTGGATACGAGACAAGCGAGCTACAGGATTGGATACGAAACAAGAGCACACGAGCGACGAATCATATTAAGGTTATGCCATGACTTGCCACACCTTTCAGAGGCCCCTGTCAGTCGAAGCAAATGACGGGTTTAGGACATCCGAGCTCACCGTGCGGCTTGTTACTCCTCAAGCTTAGAGCTGAATAGGGAGACAGCCAATGGAGACGAGGCTGTTCTGAGGTGTGTAGCAAGTGAGTAGCTCATCCAAATACCAGTCGCACATGTCACTAACGGAGTTGTCCTGGCAGCAGACAGCCTGCTGGTCGCAAGTACCGCCACTAACTCCAACGACGTTGATGGGCGAGCAGTCGAGGCCCACCGTGGCACCGATACCCTGGACAACGATACCGAGCAAGCCGAGCAGAACCGAGGTGGCGGGGTCAGAGGTCTGTTTGTCGCATGGTCAGTGCTGCCCGTACCACTACAAATAGATGGCACACTCACACTAGTGACGCTGTTGCAGCACTGGGCACCGCCGGTCGAGCAGGTGCTGACGCTGGTGGGGGAGGAGGCCGGTGCGGTCACGGTCACGGTGGTCGTAGAACCCCAGCGCTTGGCATACTGAGGGCTCGGGGTGGCGGCCGCAAGAACGACGAGGGCGAAGAACGCGAAGAGGAACGCAACGGGGCGGGCGAACATCTTGGCTGTGGGGGTTGTGCAAGAGAAAGTTGACAAGGACTGTGTAAGAGAAGGTTGGCGAGGACTGTCTGTGAGAGAAGTGGCTCGACTGGCCTTCTGGGTTGGCTTGCCACGACCTTTTATGTGTCCCAAGGAGCGCCCCAGGCGTCCTACATCTTGTGTTAGTCCGGCTGGCCTCCCCTCCGTAGTTCACCCAGGTGCGCCTGTCAACACGTTCTGGCCAATCAGGAGGACGGCGAGACGGGTTTTCAGATTACGAGATCCACATCAAACGTTGCGGGCGCGACTAGTGGAGAGACAGTGGAGAATGGTGAGACGTTGTGCTCCCCATCAGAGTCGAACGCCGTTTCAGCCCAAGTCTTAGCCTACGGGACGTCGAAGACCCTTGACGGTTGGGGGAAAAGACCTGAGGATAAATTCTGTCAGTCTTGGCCTGCAGGTATGACTAAATTTACACGGCTAGTTCTGGATTTTCCTTCCGATCCGGCCTGACTTTGGTACGGACACTGGCTCAGGTTTTGGATGGCAAAGGTAGAGAACTACTGTACGAGTTTGAATGGGAGTGGCGTCACGCGTCACAGGCCTCTCCAGGGGCTGCAATTTTGGGTCTTGTCACGCAGCTCCGCACCAAATTCGGGCCAAATTCAACGAACATACCAAGAAAATCCCGCAAATCTACTTGTTTTGGTAACTCGACGCCTGCCGTTGCTCGTACAAATGCTGTCTTGGATGTCACACCTCCGAGTCCAGGGTAAACTCGTACAGTACTCTCCCTGAAACGTCTTATCCAGCGAAGCGCCCGCTCTCAACCCAGGACTGGCAGCTCGGTTGGACCGTTGGACGATGCGAATGAATCTTGCAAGCCTCAGCGGAGTTGCCGGTCAGTTTAACTCTCGGCCTTAATTTTGAAAAGGCTATCAATGTGCCATTCAGTCGTGAAAATATACTCATCTAACTCTCTGACATGGAATGCAAACTCCCCCGTCTTCTAGCATCATCCTACAATGTATCACCAAGGTCCAACGCAGAACCATTGATCAAATGTGGGTGCGTGTGTATGCTCTCTAGACAAACTGAAGCCGTCGGCTTGTCCATGTACGGTACATATAAGCTAAGGGAGACCACGTTCGCGCTTCCATTGTAATCAGGTTGCCTCAAGGCTTGCCGCAGAGGCTTCAATACTCAAACAACGTTCCAGGCATATATTTCAGGAGCACCTCAGGCGAGCTACAGGACTCGATACGAGACAAGAGCACACGAGCGACGAATCATATTCAGGTTACACCTCGACTTGCCACATCTGTCGGAGGTGTCAGTTAGTCGAAGCAAAGGACAAGTCTAGGACACCCGAGCTCACCATGCGGCTTGTTACTCCTCAAGCTTAGAGCTGAATAGGGAGACAGCCAATGGAGACGAGGCTGCTCTGAGGTATGTAGCAAGTGAGTAGCTCATCCAAATACCAGTTGCACATGTCACTAACGGAGTTGTCCTGGCAGCAGACAGCTTGCTGGTTGCAGGTACCGCCGCCGATGAGGCTGATAGGCGAGCACTGAACGCCCACCTGGGCACCGACGCCTTGGACAACGATACCAAGCAAGCCAAGCAGAAGCGAGGTGACGGGATCGGAGGTCTGTGTTATCGCATGGTCAGTGCTGCCTGTACCATTTCATGCAGCTCGGCACACTCACGCTGGTGACGCTGTTGCAGCACTGGGCACCGCCGGTCGAGCAGGTGCTGACGCTGGTGGGGGTGGAGGCCGGTGCAGTCACCGTCACGGTCGTGGTCGTGGCGGGAGGAGAACCCCAACGCTTGGCGTTCTCAGGGTTCGGAGTGGCGGCCGCAAGAACGACGAGGGCGAAGAACGCGTAGAGGAATACAACAGGGCGGGCGAACATCTTGGATATGTTTGTTGAGCAGGAGAAAGCTGGCGAGGACTGTCTGTGAGAGAAGTGGCTCGAGCTGGCCTTCTGTGTTGGCTTGCGGTGGTCTTTTATGTTCTCCAAGGAGCGCCTCAGACATCCTACATCTTGTCGATGTCCGGCTGGCCTCCCCTATTTTGTTCACCAAGGTGCCTGTCAGCGCGTTCTCGCCAATCAGCAAGACGGCAAGACGGGTTTTCAAACTGCAAGGCACACATCAAACGTCACGGGTGTGCAGGGATAGTGGAGATACTATCCCGAAGGGAGAGTTCGCTCGTTTGCACAGAGCGGCTTCGCTCAAATATCTGTCTCTTACATGCTTGGTAAAAGCGAGTACTGTAGCATCTGAGGTGCAGGTATATAAATATGAAAGAAAATAAAAATGAGAGTGCACTGTCCGAGAGCTTCCGCTAAAGAAGTAGTTCACACTTTTGTCGCACATCAGTCACACCAGCCATCGCTCGGCAGTAAGCTCAGTTGTAGACTCCGACCGCAGGCAAGCGCAAGAACCTGACGGCGCACTCCCCTATCAGAGCCGGACGTTGTCTCAGCCTTAGTCTTAGCCTACGGGACGTCATGACAGCGTTGCACACCCTGGAATATCCGTTGACCCTACCGGGTCATGCTAGTCATGCCTTTGCGGAGCGATTTGTCGGTGACAGATGACAGATGGACAATTTTCTCGCTTTCGCACGGCGCATAGTCAATTCCGGACGTCCAGGACGCGACGTCTTTTGCTCTAGAAGGTGAACTCTTCCCCATCTTAATTTCCGAAAATCTCTACAAATTGCGAGGATATACGCAGGCTCTTGGAGCGTTCTGGTTAACTACAGCAGTGCTTGACGCCGATCACGGTGTAGGGCAGTCAGCCTCACTTACGAGGGGCGTTACTTGAGGTGCGGGCGAAGGTGTCCGCCCAGAAACGGCAATCAAGAACAACCAAGTTCACACAGGCCAAGCCCTCAAGGCCTTAGGGCCTCATGTTCCCTAAGATCAGTCTACATATGACAGTTCCCATTCAACAAGGTATGTGAGGACCCCTGATAATTGGGTCAGATGCCTGTTCGGGCCCTCCAAAATTTTGCCAAAAACGTCTGGACAAGAGGGGTAATTTTGGGTCAAAGCGTTCGGACAAAATCAGGCCTCGGGGCCTTCGGCCCCCAAAACGTCCGGACTACGGGTAGGCCTAGCAAATTTTCGCCAACCCCCAAGCTCGCCCGGCAGGCTTTCAAACCTGCATTTTCTCCTTCATACCTAGCGAAAGACCATTTTGGACACTAGTAACAATGATACAGACAGTTATATATTGGTGCAACTACTGATTGGGACTGTAGATGGGAAATTGCCTTCGAGCAGGGCTGCTACAGGGAGGAGGGGGTCAGAGAGAAGGTGTGCATTGGCAGCAGGTATGGCAAGAGCAGCTTGCCTGGCAGCGAGGATAATTGGCGGCGCATCATCAGCAGGATATTTTTTTTCTTTCCAGTCACTGAAGACCAGTCAATGGGTTGGATGGCATCAGTCGTGCTGAGTGCGAGGGCGGCAATGTTAACTGATGCAAGTCTCACTCGCACAATAAGCAAGCTATTAGCTGTAACAAAATGCAGCTTCAAACTTTGTAATCTCTCTTATTCCACAAGTTTATATCTCTGATCAAAGTAAGACAAGCAATATCAAAACATCTAAAACATGCTATTTGTCGATCTTATCTCAGCGTTGCCCTTTTTAGTCTCGGGCGGGCCGACATAGGACGATATCATGTGGTCGGTCGGCCAGGCGCCTGCCCCCACTGACGTCCGGACAAAAATCAGGCCCGCTTTCGTTGAAGGTTCGACGTCCGGACCACTCACCCGAGCTCACCCGGCCTCGGCGAGGGTTGGGGTCGAAACGTTCGGACAAAAATCTGGCATAGGGTCCAAAATCTGGCCAAAAACGTCCGGATTCCGGATAGGCCTCTAGCCCAATTACCAGGGGTCCTGGTATACTCCTGGTATGTGACTACCTGATCGGACAGCGCAAGATGAACTTTTAACGGCAACTTACATTTCCCGAGCACCATCCGCGATACCGCGAACAGCTAGAGTGCGTTCCTACTCTGTACTATCTGCCGCGCAAATATGCGCATGCACTAACTACGTCCTAAAGTATTATTTCCGCACTTCATCCGTGAGCTGAATTGCGTCCGGGACAAGACGCGGGACACGAGACTCCCGCTTGACAAGCATGACGTCTCGCCGTCACTGCGCGATCAGGGGTTAATCCCTTGCCGGAAGGGCGCAGCTCTTCGTACGTCCATTATACGGAACCATGCTCTCACGGTGACCATTGGTCGAGCGGAGCACGTTGATGGCGGCGTGCCCCGTGCGCGTAGACGTCGGGTAGCAAAGGCCAATGGTGCGTGGGCCTCAGATGGTTCAGACTGCGCAGTGACGGGGTGGCAACAGGGCTGCTAGGCCTAGCATCCCAAGGGCGTCACGATGTCAGAATCTGCGATACATGCCCTTCGTTGCGTCCGCACCATCGTAAAAAACACTCCGGCTGATAACCGAACAACGGCCCTTTAGGGATAAATGACCCCAAAGAACAGCGGAACAAAAACATCTGATTGAATAGGCTACTCAGACACGCGGAATGTTCACTTGCTCTTGGCTGAGTTTCCAACCCGATCTTGCTCAATGTGCGAGGGCATCGCACACAAGCATTCAGACGGTGCCTTGTCGTTTCTCACAGCGACAATGCCCCCAGCGTTGTCTTTTGCCACTTCACATGCACCTACGGTTCTGTCGTGTGTTACCGTTGTGCTCCGGTGAGAATAAATGCATAAATCTCGTACGTTGGGCTGTAACGTGTAAATCTCATCATGTCTCAGGTCTCAGGGTAGCGAGAAAGCGGCGAGAATCGAGACCTCCGGCCTTGGGGCGCTTGGATGCTCCACTTAATGTGCCTGTGAGTAAAGCCCGCGATTCAACGCGTGATGCGCTCATCAGAGGCGAGAAATCCCCAACGCAAGACCCAAGCTGATCATTGAGAGGCGCTCCACCGAGCGGTGGAGAGCAAGTGTACGAAGAGAGGCCCGCGTCGGAAGCAACCCCTCAGCAGCTTTTCAAGAACGTCCGAGATAGCTGAAGTTCTGCTCTGGCAAGGTAAGGGTCCCCGCGGCCTCGGCGTCCCGCGCTGAAACCAAATATGGGGAATATGAAATTTTGCGTCGTCGGATCCTAAGTTTCACCCCTGCAACGCGTTGCAGCAGTGATTTCTGCCGTCACTTTGAACAACACGGGCAAGGGCATAAGGCAAGGAGGGCTAGATGTGTTATCAGGTGACGTTCTTGGATTTCCATGGTACCCCATTTCGGCAAGCTCACTACCAATCACTCTAGTGACGTAACGTCTCCGCGCTTGTGCAATCGCTTTGTGGCGGAGACGTCGAAAAAACTCAAGCGATGCAACAGTATGTTATACAAGCTACAACCGCTGGCTGCTCAAACGTACTCCTTCAGACTCCTGCTCGATTGGCTTTAAGCGTGAGGTAGGCTCAAGGTAGGCCCTTCACGTGTCTCAGCCGCCCGGGTGATGTCACTACCATTCTCGGTTTTTTAGCTTCGACATCAGCACAAGGTGTCGCCCAGCACGAACTGTAATGGCAGCATCGTCAAGGTTCGCGCAGATTTATTCCACTCCGCTTCGCTATGTACTGCGCCGTAAGTTATGAAAACATGCCCAGGCTCATCGAAGCGGTAATCAAGCGCCCGATGCTTCGACTATCTGATCGAGCACCTAACCCTAAGTTGCTCGACGGCTAAAACGACAATCCTTGGAAGAACAGGGCTGGCTCTGCTGCACGGGAGAATAATTATAGTCAGATACGCGAATCCAATCCAGTATATGTCACCCCTAATGTCAGCAACCCAAAGGAGTACTGCGCTGGCTATGTCTATCACCTTATAATAGAGAAACTCAATTTTGAATCTTGCGAGGGCTTGCGAGGGCTTGCGAGCACAGCAGGAGGAGGATATTTGTTCGGATCGTGCCGATTGATGTGTAGCAAGGAGCTGTACTAACCTAGGGTTCATGTTTTGTAGAGAACCCTTAGCGTAGGGTTACAGATGCACTGTTGTTGAACATGTCGTGTTATTGCTTCAAAATCGTTCAGAAAACATCGAAGATGGAGTCATGGGCATGGTAAATGCCAAGCCAGTCCCAGCAGCCATGCCAGAGCTGTAGTAACGAAGTAGGAGTACAGACGCGGCATGACAACGTACACGGTCGCAATTCGACGAGCAGAGTGTCACGCCGACTTTCCCATCACAAACCGGCACGTTTAAGAGATATATTTTGCACCCCCGCCCGACTCCGGCGCAAGGGGTTTCAGCCGCATTGATGGCAGCGGTGGTCGGAAGTACTCCGGGCTCTTTCAGCTCTCGTCGAACGGCGAGCACGATCCTAAATTGAGTTTCTCTAATAGCAAGTATTGGTAGTATGACTTATCTCCACCAGATGATGTTGATCATGACTACGATTAGCAGCTGATCATATATATATACGTTTAATGAAATAGCTACATAGGAGGCGAGATCAAGCGCACCTGCGACGACTCCGACGGCAAGGGGTGCTTCGGGTCCTGCCCCGACGTGCCGCTCTGTATGGAAGGTGAGCGCCTACTGGCACCACCCGACCCGCCAATATGGAATAAGAGGCGCCAGTACCAGTGCGCTCCGGTGTGCGGGGGTTGTCCGAGCACTGATGGCATCAAATTGGGGTTTCTGACTTGAGTTTTGGGGATCTGACCTGAGCCTGCCGGGCAACTGTACAGCGACGATGCTTCTAGCGTTGTCTCTTGCCCCTTCACATGCACGCTAGTTTTGTCGTGCGTTGCCCTTATGCTCGACTGAGAGCAGTCGCATGGATCTCATACGCTCAGCTGTGACCATCATGCTGTCTCAGGTTCCAGGGTAGCGAGAAGGCCGCGGCGAGAATCGAGACCCCCGGCCTTGAGGCGCTTGGATGCTCCACCCATTAATGTGCCTGTATGTACAGCCTGCAATTGCGCCCGTCAGAGGCGAAAATCCCCAACGCGCTCGCCCCCAACGCAAGACCCAAGCTAACCACCGAGAGACGTTCTTTCGAACGGTGCCGAGCAAATGTACGAAGAGTAGCCCGCATCGAAAGCAGCTTCTCAGTGACCTCTCAAGACAGCTGAAGTTGAAGTTTTGCTTTGGCAGGCTTCTCAAAGATTTCCGTGGCATCGGTGTGCGCCCCGCGCTAAAACTAAATATGAACAATATGTCTTACGACGTTGGATCCTTAATTTGGCCTTGGCAAAGCGTTCCAGTATTGTTTCATGCCGTCACTTGAACAACAACGGTACACGACAAGGAGGGTTAGATGTGCTACCAGGTGACGTCCCACGACATTTCATTTCGGCCAACTCACGGTCAATCATTCTAGTGACGAAACGCGTCCGCGTCCGCGTTCGTGCAATCGCTTTGTGGCGGAGACATCAGACAGACTCGAGCGACGCGGGCAGTATGTTGTACAAGTTATAACCGTAGGCTGTTCGAACATACTGCTTCGGATTTCTGCTCGATTAGCTTTAAGCGTGAGCTAGGTTCTCTAGAGATCTCAGCCGCTCGAATCATACCGCCGTCCGTAGTTCCCGAATTTTTTTGGCGGTGAATAGGGCGGCTCCACTTTGACATTCTTCGACATCAGCACAAGATACCGCCCAGCAACGGTGACGGCAAGCGACGCCAAGAATGCTCCCTTCTACTTCGCTACAGGCTGCCGTGATGCGTTCAGACCCAGCCAGTCACCAGCCTGGGAGTGGCGGGAAGAGCGGTGTTTGGCTGGCGATGTCCGTCAACAAAGAAGTACAAACCGGCGTTCCAGGTCAGAACACACGCGTATATATACTGAGCCAGACGTAGGGGATCCGGCATCGAGTCTCAAACGCACCAGGACTACTCTGAGTATTCGAAGCATTCCTCTGCACATTCTCAAGATGTTCGCTCGTCTCACCACCGTCGCCTCCCTCGCTGCCCTGTCGCTTCTTGCGGTCGCCACCCCGAACCCCTGGGGCTCTCCCCCCGCCACGACCACGACCGTGACCGTGACCGCGCCGGCCTCTACCCCCACCAGCGTCAGCACCTGCTCGACTGGCGATGCCCAGTGCTGCAACAGCGTCACTAGTGTGAGTGTGCCGATCCGCATGCAATGCTACGAGCAGCACTGATCATGCGACGAAACAGGCCTCCAATCCCGCTGCCGCCGGTATACTGAGCGGGCTCGGCATCGTCCTCCAGGGCGTCACCGCTGACGTGGGCCTCACCTGCAGCCCCATCACCGTCGTCGGTGGGAGCGGTACCTGCAACCAGCAGGCTGTCTGCTGCCAGGATAACAGCCACGTGAGTAGAATATGCACGATCGGCGTTTGGATAGACTGCTCACTTGCTGTGTGATTCAGGGTAGTCTGATTTCCATCGGCTGTCTCCCCATCACTCTCTAAACGACTCAAGATTTTCTAGTGGGTATTCATTCTTCTGCATCATTTCCAGCAGATCACTGATAGTGGTAGCTGATCAGTGCTTCCACCATCGCTCGGGCTGTTGTATAAGCGTGCTCGTGTCAATACTCCTGTGTACCTCATGACAGCCAGTTCACAATCGAGCCTTGGATGGGTCGGGAAGACTGGGAGCAGTTTGAGAATGCTGATTTGATTGTATACCGTCTTGCAATGAATGTGTCTCGTTTTGCCCAAATAGCAAGTGTGGGGAACTAATTGGTATTGTTTGACTGTGACGGCCAAGGATATAAGCATGCTATGTATCCTCAACACGTCTAGGCGATACCACAAACTATGGTTTCGTACTCTGCACCTAATCCATAATTGGCCTGTAGTTAGCCACGGAGACTAATAAGACAGTGATATCGACATGGGATAGCTGGTAAAATACTATGAAGAGTAGAGTTGTGTCTTAGTGACTTTCTAAGTATTTAAATATGGAATTGTAAGCCTGCCCCCGTCACACCGCTTCAAGCCTCGAGACTTGGCTTATGGTAACATTGGCTCATCCACCTATTATTGTCACAGCTGTACTCGTACATAGACCCGTTGTTCGCATATTTCGAATAAGCTCGCAAGATTCGGCAATATGGCGCGGTCCCGACATCCTGTGCGGCCCCGCGCGCGCGCTCAGTGTTCTTTGCTTGACCAAGGTTACAGGACTCGATCCTGGCTGACAATCCGACTTGATCTTTCCCGGTTTGCAAGGACATCCGAGTCGTGCAGAAGTGCGTTGTCTTTTGGCACCTCACAAATCTCCGGCTCCGTCGACCTCATTCTCCAGTGAGAGTAGGAGCATGAATCTTGTATGTTTGGCCAGAAATTTTGTCTTGTCGTCCAGGTTCCAGGACAGCGAGGAAGGCGTAGCAAGACTGCACGCGTTGCAGGGGCAAAACCAAGGAACCGACATCGTTGGATTTCATATTGCGGCGTGTTCACGCGAGACGCCGAGGCCGGCACGGGAACCCTTGAGAAGCAGAGCTGAACCCCGCCAAATTTACGGTCCCGCGCCGGATGACATAAGCATCGGCGAGCATCGGCGGGCGTTCCAAAGGCGGAAGCGAGCCGAGGAAAGGCGTGGAGACGATGTTGAGAAAGCCTTGAGTGCCAGGGGCTCACAAAAATTTGTAGGCACACAAATAGAGGTGTTTTTAATGTGTGACAATATTCTTGTAATTTATTTTGTGCCGGGAGGTACATTGTGACACGACCTACACTAAAGATATCTACACTGAGGAGGGGAAGGCACGCGGTGCCCAAGGCATTAGCTAAAAAATTAGATTTTTAAGACATACAGGTTCTATGCTGGTTCAGTCCACTGTGCCGTCAGGTCCGGGGGGCCAGAGGCATGTCAAGGAGACGTCGAGCGAGGCAGAGGCACCAGACGAGGCGGGAGGGCGGGCAAGCGCTTGGGACCGTAATTTCTCACGTTGGGACCGTAAATCTCGAGGGCAGAAGGGAACTGCGCTGCACGCTTTTCTGGCAGGGACGCCAGCCAAATTTCTCGCACCTGATGTGCCACCTGGCAAATTTACGGTCCCAAATTACGGTCCCATAGGCGTCGGAACAAACGGTGATGCGCCCTTGATGACGGGAAGGCGCTTAAGCGGCGTAGCCGGCAGACGCACCGGTGCCTCATTTGGACGGGCGCCCGCGACCGTAAACCTCCCCCTTTGGGGACCGTATAGGCGCCCCCTGGGACCGTAAATCTCGAGCACGAAGCGGAGGCTTGCAAGTCTAAGCAAAACTTCAACAGCCTTAGACGTTCTTACAAGGCCACTACGAGGCTGTTTTGAACGTGGGCTAGAGCTTACCTTCGTATGCATACTCGGTATCGCTCAGAGCAATGCTTCTCAGTGATGAGCTTGGGCTTTGCCTTGGAGAATTTCGCCGCTTACGAGCGCGTCGAGTGTACACATCGGGTTGCGTACACACATTGAGCCAAGCGTCTCCGAGCCGGGTGATTTTGATTTCTGCCGTCATTTCAACAACACGCGCAAGGGTACAAATCCAGGAGGGTTAGGTGTGCTACCAGGTGACGTCCTCGAATTCACATAGCATTTTCATTTCCGAGTCAACAAGCTCATTGTTAATCATCCTAGTGACGCAACGCCTCCACGTTCGTTCAATCGCTTTGTGGCGGAGACGTCAGACAGGCTTGAGCGATGCAAGCAGTATGTTTTTCAAGCTGTAGCCGTGAGCTATTCAGACATACTCCTTCGGATCCTGTTCGATTGGCTTCAGGCGTGAGGTAGGTTCTTCAGAGATCTCAATCGCTGGGATAATATCACCGACTGTGGTTCCTGACTTTTTTTGGCGATGAATAGGACTGCTCCACTTTGACATTCTTCGACATCAGCACCAAATACCGCCCTACACGCTATGATGGCCAGCGTCGCCAAAAAAGTCGTGCGGACGTGTTCCACCCCATTTCGCTGCGGGCTGCATCATGGGACACTGTCGTCATGCAGTTTGACCAGCCACCAGCCTGGGAGCGGAAGAAAGAGCAGTGGTTGGCTGACGATGTCCGTCGACGAAAATGTACAAACCAGCATCCCAGGTCAGAACATACGCGTATATATACTGAGCCAGACATAGGGGACCCGGCATCGAGTCTCAAACGCACCAGGACTACTCTGACTACTCGAAGCATTCCTCTGCATATTCCCAAGATGTTCACTCGTCTCACCGCCGTCTCTTCCCTCGCTATCCTCTCGCTTCTTGCGGTCGCCACTCCGAACCCCATTGCTGAGAAGCGTGGGGGTCAGCCCTCCCAGACGGTGACAGTGACTGCACCGGCCACCACCCCCACCAGCGTCAGCACCTGCTCGACTGGCGATGCCCAGTGCTGCAACAGCGTCACTAGTGTGAGTGTGCCGATCCGCATGCAATGCTACGAGCAGCACTGATCATGCGACGAAACAGGCCTCCAATCCCGCTGCCGCCGGTATACTGAGCGGGCTCGGCATCGTCCTCCAGGGCGTCACCGCTGACGTGGGCCTCACCTGCTCGCCCATCACCGCCGTCGGGGCTGGCGGCGGTAGTTGCGACTCCCAGGCTGTCTGCTGCCAGGATAACAGCTTCGTGAGTAGCATACGCATGACTGACGATTGGATAGACTGCTCACTTGCTGTGCGATTCAGGGCGGCCTCATCTCCCTTGGCTGCCTCCCTATCACTCTCTAAACGACTCAAGATTTCCCAGCAGGTATTCATTCTTCTGCATCATTTCCAGCAGATCACTGATGGCAGTAGCTGATCAGGGCTTCCACAATTGCTCGGGCTGTCGTATGAGCGTGCTCGTGTCAACATTCTTGCGTACTTCACGACAGCTAATTCACAATCGAGCTCTGGATGGGTCAGGAAGGCTGGGAGCGATTTTGAGAATGCTGATTTGATTGTATACCGTTTTACAATGAATGCGTCTTGTTTCGCCTGAATAGCAAGGGTGGGAACTAGTCGGTATTATTTGAGAATACGACAAATACCTTAGCCAAGTGCTATATAAGCATGTTATGTCGCCCGGAACTTAACATACATCTACATGGCGTTGGCATAAGACAGTTAGTAAATTGCTGCCAAGAATAGAATCGTATCTCAGTGGCTTTTTAAGTACAGATGAACGCAGTTGTTAGACAAGAAGATTTAATTCAATAGGCACCGAGCTTAGACATGGAATTGTAAGCCCGCCCCTGCAGACCTAGCTCTAAGACTTGGCTTATGTGATATTTGCTCACCTACCTTTTGCTGTCACGCTCCCATCGACTCTCATAGCCACATTCATCATCTGGCGGCCATAGTCGAACATAGACCCGCCGTTCGCGCATTTCGGCAGTCCGGTCCTGACGCGCGGACGTCTTGTGCGACCGCGCGCGCTCAGTGTTTTTTGCTTGGTTCTAAGAATGTTCACTCGCCGCTGGCTTAGAATCCGACTTGATCCTCCTCCGATTTAATGTGCGAAGATATCGCGCAAAAGCATTCGAGCGATGCCTTTTCGTTTCTCATAGTGGCAATATTCTCCTGGCGTTGTCTCTTGACACCTCGCTTGTGTCTCCGGTTCCGCCGACCTCATTCTCCAGTGAGAGTAGGAGCATGAATGTTGTACGTTTGGCTTGAAATCCCATCTTTCCATCCAGGTACCAGGGCAGCGAGGAAAGCGTGGCAGGAGTTCTTGGCCTGGAGACGCTTGGGAGCTCCACTCAATGCATATACAACCCGCGACCGGACACCCGACGCGCTCGCAAGCGACGAACAAGTCCAATGCAAGACTCATGCTAACCACTGCCATGAGGGGCATTCTTTCGAGCGGTACCGAGCATGTGTACAAAGATAAGCTCTAGCCCACGTTCAAAACGGCCTCTCAGCAGCCTCACAAGAGGGTCCAAAGCGGCTGAAGTTCTGCTCAGGCTTGCACGCCTGCGCTTCCCAAGGGTTCCCGTGGTCTCGGCGTCTCGCGCGAACACGCAATATGAAATCTAACGACATCGGTTCCTTGGTTTTACCCCTGCAACGCGTGCAGTTTTGATTTCTGTCGTCATTTGAACAACACGCGCAAGGGTACAAGTTGAGGAGGGTTAGATGTACTACCAGGTGACGTCCTCGAATTCACATAGCATTTTCATTTCAACAAGCTCATTGTTAATCACCCAAGTGACGCAGCGCCTCCACGTTCGTGCAATCGCTTTGTGGCGGAGACGTCAAAAAAGCTCGAGCGATGCAGGCAGAATGCTGTACAAGCTATAACCGTGAATTGGTCAAACATACTCCTTCAGATTCCTGCTCGATTGGCTTTAGGCGTAAGGTAGGTCCTTCAGAGATCTCAGCCGCCCGGATAATACCACCGATTGTGGTTCCTGACTTTTTCTGGCGGTGAATAGGACTGCTCCACTTTGACATTCTTCGACATCAGCACAGGATATCGCCCAGCGTGCACTGTGGCGATAACATTGCCAAGAATATCGCGCGGACGTGTTCCACTCCACTTTGCTATGGGCTGCGTCGTGGGGCACTGTCGTCATGCATTTTGAGCAGCTAGTCACCAACCCGGGCATGAGAAGAAGAGCAGTGGTTGGCTGACGATGTCCGTCGACGAAAATGTACAAACCAGCATCCCAGGTCAAGACATACGCCTATATGTACTGAGGCAGACGTAGCGGTTCCGACATCCAGTTTCAAACGCACCAGGACTACTCCGAGTACTCGAAGCTCTCCTCTGCATATTCTCAAGATGTTCTCTCGCCTCACCGTCGTCACCTCCCTCGCCCTCCTCTCTATTCTTGCGGTCGCCACCCCAAACCCCGAGAACGCCAAGCGTTGGGCTACCACGACTACGCCCCAGGCTCCGACCACGACCGTGACCGTGACTGAGACGGCAACGGCCTCGTCCGTCCCTGCCAGTGATTGCTCGACTGGCTCCGTCCAGTGCTGCAACACCGTTACAAGTGTGAGTGTGCCGATCTGCATGCAGTGGTACGAGCAGCACTGACTGTGCGTTGAAACAGGCGTCGGATCCCACCGCCGCCGGTATTCTGGGTCTGCTCGGCGTCGTCGTTCAGGGCGTCGACGTTCTGGTGGGCCTCACCTGCGACCCTATCACCGTCGTCGGTGCTGGCGGCGGTTCTTGCAGCGCTCAAGCTGTCTGCTGCCAAGACAACAGCTATGTGAGTAATATCGGCCGCCTCCGAAAACGCTCGTCTCATCAGTCCTGCAGGGCTCTCTCATCTCCATCGGCTGTATCCCCGTCACTCTCTGAACGCCTCGAATCTTCACCGGTAGGTGGTCGCCCTTAGTGTTTCCAACAGGTCGCTGACATTGTTAGATCATTAGCGCCTAATCAATGCTCGGGCTATCGTATGAGCATATTCGCACCAATGTTTGCCCTACGACAGCTAGTTCACAGCCGGGTTTGGGTTGGGCCGGAGAGTTAAGGACATTGCTGACTTGTTTGTATCACGCTATGCAATGAATGCGCCTTGTTTGATTCGAAAATTCTGCGTGAAAGCTGGGTGTCGAAGTGTGCGATTGAGCAGTGAATCCAAACATGGATTGTAAACAAGTGTGTAAACGCGATATATCGTCCTAAGTAACGTCTACACAGGTATAACATGGGACAGATAGTACATTAGGCCAAAAAATGAAATTCTACAATTGTTACTTGCCGCACCCCGGACAGCAGTGAAGGACATCATGGATAAAGACATCACACTCTGTACAGAAGTCGTGCTCGCATTCTGGACAGCGATATCGACCTAAGGGGCTGATACCATCGACAAGGGGGACATTCGGCTGCAGTACTTTCTCTTGGAATGGAACTGAGCAGCCGTAGCAGGTTGCGCTTAGACTTGTAGCATCATCAAGATTCGTACTGTCGAAGAGTTAGCGCGACGATAAAGCCGGGATAGGACGGGAACTCACATGGGAGTATACGGCTTGACAGGGAAGAGATGGTGGTAGCTTCGCGCTAGATGGGGTGAGCTGACGATCATAAGGCCGCATATGTCGCAATCCGTCGGCACGTCGCAGACTTTAGCCAGACACCTGGGACAGAGGAAGCCCTCGCTTTTGAGTTCGCCGTGGCATACGCAGAGACTCGGTTGGGACGTAACCGGTAATCGGGTTGGGAACCCCATCATTATCAGGTCAGCAGCCGGGTTCGCGGCCCCAGGGCCGTTTGCGCGTGTAAGGGCGCGCTGGGCAGGTGGAGGGATCAATTCAAAGAGAAGGTCCTTGAAGTGTCCTTCGTTTAGGGCGACGCCGAACTGACCTACCCTGGCAAGATCAAGACGAGCTCAGTCGGCGAACTAGGCTGACGAGCGACGTACCACCAGTTTTGACGCAAAGCTCACGGCAAATTTTCATTTCTGCGGCAAGAGCAACCAAAGATATTCGTATTTTATCCTTGACACATTCATCCAAGGTGTCATGGATATTCCCCGGATCACAAGTCGTTAGAGACCCGAAGATGATGGTTATTTCTCGAGAAGAATTGGTCGGTAGGTGGCTATAACGGCAAGTTAGTCATGTTCAGGTAGGGTAGACGATTGCTTTGCCTCATACTACTCCGAGCCATCTCAATGGCATTTTGTAGACTAGGTTCACCTACAGGCTCCAGTTTGTGCCGTTCGGCAATCGACCTCAGGACGTCCTGAGGGTTCCCTACGCGTTTTGTTTTAAAATAGTAGATACATACAATTCAACAGCGAAGTATAGATAAACGTACCAGACATTTCACCTATCCGTTCGCCGATGCCGCCCCGCATACCGACAATCCCTATTTGACCGAGGGGGTTCTGGTCAAACCACTCGGCGATGAATTCACGAGCATACTGAAGCATGAGATCGAAGCGTGTCGGACGCATGTCTCGGTCCATCATAGACGAAGATAGATCCAAGACCAGGATGAGATGTCGTATGATAGTTCTGCGAACAGCTTCCGCGGGAGCTAGCAGTCTGGAGGTGGCAATCGGATAAATAAAGAATCGACGCGTGAAGCACGAGCATAGTCGTACCTTCTTCGTCTCCCCTTGGCAATGAGATCTCGCACTGCAGTGTGCAAGCTGCCTGCCTCATCCTCTTGTACGGTCTCCCATGTCCGCGTATAGGATGCCTCCCAAGCGTAGGGTTGCTTAAAGAACTCATGTAAGCGGCTCTAAGCAGTTAAATAACTTTCAGCACATACCTCTTTAACCTTGCTCTTCCCCTTGTCGCCTTTGCGGCCTTCTGTTGCCTTGCCCTTACCTTTAGCCTTTACACGAGAGGTCAGCTCGTCCTCGTCGAGCATGGACACGTCCGAATCAGACTGTCCGCCCATGTAGTCATCATTCGTCCGTCTTGGGGGCATATCGGGGGTGAAGCGAGAGCTAGATTGCACGACTCGCCGTGCAGAGTAGCTGGAAGCTAGGTAAAGTCGCTAAAAGCATGCGCTCGGCGCCGCCGAGCGCGCCGTCCGCATGTTACGTACGTGTCACACCATGTCACGAACTTTTGTCCGTAGTGACCCGCCTTAGCGGTCACGCCCTCTACCAACGACCCTACATCCTCCTCCTGCGGGCAATGATTGGTTTGCTCCCCCTCACGCTCCTTTTGTTTTCATGGGGACCGTCTGTCAACGCGGGCAGCGTCAACTACGGTGGCGCATGCAGCGTCGGTAACCAGAAGCTCGCGGCCGGGACCTATGAGTTTCAGGCAGACTGTGATTCGATCACTTTCTGCAACTCGTCCGGCCTTTGCGACCACAAGGGCTGCAGATCAGACGAGTATCCCCTTGGCTACCCCACGAGCTTAGATCCTCCTCCGAGATGCCCTACCGGAATGTTCTGTCCTGATGAGGAGGATCAGTGTTTGCCGCTGCTGGCGGTAGGAAGCCCCTGCCAGTTTGACCGAGATGGTACGTCAACTAGTACGCCTTGGTGCTGAAAGCTAATTCTCTCCAAGACGAGTGCCAGGGCCCGCCGAACTTTCAGCAGCTGGCAGACACGACCGGCTATGGGCTAAACGTGAATGGCTCGGTGTGCTTGAACAACATCTGCATGTTAGAAAGCTATCTATAGTCTCCAGCGGCTGTTACTAATAATGCGCTCAGGTGGGCTAACGCCACTCTCGGGAACACATGTGTGGTAGAGAACACTGCCTACACTGTGTATTCCGCCAACAACGAATCTATCGATATTGTGTCGAGGTATGTACTTGATCGTGTCTCGTTCCGAAAACAACTCACGCTCTCTCAGGGACAACTGTTCGCCTGGGTTGTACTGTGATGCTCAGCACTTGGTTTGCATGAAGACGAAGAACAAGGGCGACTCCTGTGATGCCGACAAAGAGTACGTTCCACATCGTTGGTATCTTCACTTCTGCTCATGGGAACTCCTAGGTGTTCGACATACAACTGTCTTGCCAAAGGTGTCTGCGGCAGGTCGGCCAACTTGCCCCACCACGTACCCTTCTGGGTGTATATTATTGTTGGCGTTTGCATCTTGGGCGGTCAGTGGCTGTGAGCACGCTCGTGTTGATCCGCGCTAACGCCTCTTCAGGCATGCTTGCAACCCTCGCCGGCATGTACTGGCTCCACCGAGGACACCGCAATGCAGAGCGCGAGAAGCGTCTCCAGTACTGGCGCGAGCAGAACGCCTTCCGCCAGAACATCCTGCAGATGCAAGAGACTGCCCGCCACTCGATTATGTCGCTATCCGGTGGGGGGCCTCACAGTCCGCGGAGCACGCTTTACAGCCGCGATGGTGCACAGTCCGAAGACTCTCAAATACCAATGTTGAACCCGACGAGCAAGTCGAGCGCCCTGCGGCACCAGCTTTCGGATGACGGTTCTGACGACGGCAGCCAAGACAGCATCATGATTCAGCGTGTGGATCGGAAGGACTCGAACAAGTTTTGAAGGATAGAATCGAAAACCAGGTTCTCATGGACTGCGCACCGTCGTGTCGTTTTTACCTACCCACTTACGCGTTACCCTCTCGGACTAGGACAATCGTTTATTACCCTTCTATAATACTTTCGCTGTCGCTTTGGAATACATATCGCTTTGTTGGGCAATTTTCTCTCGAGGAATTTAGGAGTCTTCATGCAAACACGTCGGGGGTGCGCGCTTAATGCGGCGGCTGTAGTCTCGATTCCCAGTTTAGCCTTGACGTACAACGACCAACACTACAACTCCATCCTCTACTAGACGATATCAGGCTTCAGGTCTCTCTGCCGCCAGGATAGCGCAGCCGGTCATGAGCCTTACCTCCAATCAGCACTCTGGGCCCGCAGAAGAGGAGGATATAAGTCGAGCCGGCGTCTACCATGATGAGGTCGCGCCGAAACTCAGCGGTTCTAAGGGCAAGCAGAGGGCAGACAACCCTTTCAGCAACGAAGACGAATCCTCCTCAGACGAGGAGGACAGCGGAGAGAAGAAATACCCGCCAAACATTGATGACGAGGAAGAGTCGCGGAGGGTTGCAGAGGTGCGTAGCGCATCCACTTTGCTCTTTGACCTATTTTTTAATTTTGTGTGAACTGCCTGCTCTGCAGAACCTGAGGCAGTGGGAACAAGCAGAACGCCAACGTCGCAAAGCCGCGCGAGACTCGCAGATATCCACCGCCTCCTCTTCGCTCGTGGGCGATGTCACCCGCAAAGCGAGCCTACTCTGGCCCGGCAGGCGGCGGTCGCAGCAGGGCCCGCCCAGGGGTCCCGGCACACACCACAAGCTACGGGATTCAGAGGAAGAGGTCGCACTAGACGAGCTGGACACTCGCTTGTCCGCTCCTCCGACTCCAGAGCCCGACAACCCGTTTGCCACGCCCGCCGCCTCGACGCTTTCGTTGAACAACCCGCAAGGCTCGGCGATCATGCAAGAGTCGGACTCGGCGAATACGCTGGCAGAGGAGCCGAGTGCGGCGCCTGCAGCGAAGAAGCCGTCGCTCGGACGCAACGATTCTGCGCGTGCGCAGAGTCCGCCGAAACCACTCGACCTGCCCGCCCCGCGGTCACCTCCGCCGCGCACAGAGACGCCGCATGCGAACCGCCCGCCAGAGCCGATACCACCCCCAAGATTGCAGCACGTCGAGGAGGAGGAGGCGGTGCCGGAGAAACGGTGGTGGACTGACTGGCTGTGCGGCTGCAAAGAGAGTGGGGACAGTCAGGTGCGTCGGGCTTTTCCCGCGCTGTATATGCTATCTTGCTCACTGATTCTTGATGTCAGGCTGGTCGTACCAATCCGTTTGAGTGACATGGGTACTCGCCGCTTCCCATCTCTATCGTGCAGGACTCTCGAACTGTCATGTTTTTGTTACATGTAACGACTATACCATGAACTCAGGGACAATTGTAGCATTCTACCCATCGGACCGTATTCTTATTCCTTCCTTCATAACTTTGCGTTCATAATTTATAACTTCATAACACGCTTCTTGACCAACTATTCATATGAACGACAGTAATGCGCGTATGGTACTAAGTCTGGCACAGTAATATGATGATGCATGCTGGTATCCCTGAGTCGAAGAACGTGAAGCAGACAGTCCGGAAGCCTTTACATGATAACACAACCCCCATCCTGTCTCTGGATGCCTCTCGCGATGTCGTCAGGCTTCACAATATTCCCCGTGTCTCTGTCACGGCCGTCCAGGCTGACAATGAGCACGCCAGTATTCTGTGGATCGAGTTCGGCGACGAGCTGATGCTTCTGCATGAGATCTTCAATGGCAGGCTTGATCTTTGCGGCACCGTTCTTCGAGTGCAGACCTTTGCCTAAGCAAGGGATCAATCGATAGTATGATATACATGGGATAGCGAGACGCACCGACGATGAGATGGACCTCGGAGTCACCTCGGGCCCTTGCCTGCTGAATAGCTCGATCCGTATATGTTATCGCTTCCTTCACGTATAGCCCATGCAAGTCGACCTCGCCGGGCTTGCTATCCTCGTTGTTCTCTGACAGGGCATGTCAGCGCCGCCACACGCCGAGTCCAGCTCGCCATGCTCACTGATGAAGATCCACTCCGCCGCCTCCTTGTTGAGCCTGTCCATCTCGGCCTGGTGCCGCTTGCCCTTGTTCGAGAGCTCCTTGGCGAGCGCGCCGTCCCCACGCTCGTACGCCTGGTGGCCCCCCTCAAATGCCTGGGCCATCGCGTCGCCCTCCTCGTTCGCACGCGCGCGAAGTGCGGTGTAGTGCGGGTTGGACTGGTTCACCTGGTTCGGGTCCTGCAATCATCCTCCGGTCAGACGTCGCATGGACAACGCACATGCGGTACTCACGATGCGCCCCGGACTCGGGCTGTGTGCGTGGTGCGTGCCATGGTCGGATCGGTGCTCGGGTCGGTGCTCGGCCGGCCGCTCGTGCTGAGGCTGCGTCACGAACGGCGCATCGTTGCGCGACCGGTACGACGGTGGGGTGCTTGGCTCGGGGCGGTGCCGCTGCGAGTGCCTGTGCGACACTGTAGGCGGGACATACAGATCCTGTGACGCGCCGTCCGGCAGCACTTCAGGTGCCTTCGGCCCACAGCAGAGCCATGTGAGGCCACGAAGAATGGCGTCGAGGAAACTCATGATTGTTCAGAGAGTCCCTGAGGACCGTAGGCGAGGGAAGAGGGAAGTATGAGTAAACGCTGCTTGGTGGGGTTTAACCAGTAGAATGAGGTCGTAGTGGAGCTATTTAGGCTGCAGCTGCGCGGCCGACAGCCTCGTGGCACAGCCGACCCGAAAAGCAGGTCGAATGAACGCCTGGCATCGGTCCCAAGCTATCCTCACAGACTACGTCGCCTCGAGGAAGGGAGGAAAATTGTGTTCCAGTGATAGTGACATGATCGCGAGCAACCTCGAAGGCACTTCTGCTTGGAAGTCTCACTGGTACGAAACATCCTCAGGTGGTTTGCCGCCACATATACAGCCACATACGACGATCTCTGCGGCGAACCTTCGTGGCGGCGGGGAATTCTGATCCCCCAGATCTCAGTACGACTTGAAAGCTTAAGCCCGGAAAGATGGCTCGGTAAGCCGCATGGGATGCGGCCAGTCCCGCCGCCTTTTGTCAATCTATGTCCTCCGTCTGCGCTTTGGTCAGGCCTTGATGTCGATGTCGCAGACTCCAAGTATCGGCAGGTACCGTGTCTAAGATGGTGGGACAGCGGAACATCCAGCCTGAGGCTGAGCACTGGTGCTCGTAGTCCCTTCCAACGCACCAAAGAAAAACCCCTCAAACACCCCTGCAAACATACCTATTGAGCAAAGGCGAGCTTACCACCCACCCAGCTGCAATTTTCCTCTTCCAGGGAGGATAAATTTCAATACGGTGTATATTGTATGCGGAGCAGTTTTTCGGCCTGCTACAGACTATTCGTATGTACACAGTGATGTCACTTGACTGAGCCCGTGAATGAGATTTTACTGCCCAGCTCTCTTTGTCTATCATCCCTAGTAGTAGCTTGCGGACAGTACAAGTAATATGCAAGGGTGTGTAGTGAGCGAGCGTTTGCTCACTTCCCTAACTTAGTGGAAGTTATCTTTTCGACGCATGTCCGGGTAGCAACACCTCATGCTTGCTGTCATTGTGTGGTGAACCACGCAGGCTTGTAGTAATCGAGAACATCGGGAATCAATGTCGACACCGCTTTCCTCATCGTACCAACGTCGACGACGTGTATCCGGATCTCAGGAGGCTCTGCCAGGAGTACAGCAGCATAGGTGTGTATTGCTGTCTGATATGTACGGAGAAAACAAGAGGCATAGGTTGCCCCTCCGTGGTCAAGATAATCAAGTAGAGTAAGACGGATAGAAGAAACCGCGAAGGGGACACTAAATACGTTCGACAAGCATAGAGACTTCTGTCAGATTCCAAACACCTCCAGCGCTATACCACTAGATCTCCAATCCAACGAGTATATAAGCCGGATCCACGGGGAAGGGAGGAGTGGTGACGACGGTGCCACCGACATACATGAGCGAGTGAAGGAGCTCGCCGAGGTGCGGGCAGGACTTTTCCAGGGCGAGGACTAGAGCAGAGCATTCCAGTCGCTCGTCTGCGAGGTCAAGCAGAGCGACAATACTACCGGAGCTGAATCAGCCGCCGAAGCCCGGGAGCAAGGAGACGGCCTGGGACTCACCTCTCACGAAGGTTGACGTGGGCAGCGTTCTTGCCGTCAACGTAGAGCGTCTTCGTCTTACCTGGAAGGTCGAGAACGACACCTTCGAAGGCTGCGCCGAGGTTCGGCGCGGATATCTCTACGCTCTTCGCGTGGGGAATGGCACCGAGGGCGTTCCGCGGGAAGAGCGTACTAAGGAGTTCGAGAGCGCCGTTGCGCTGTTTGCTGCTGATCGCGCCGACACTGTCGTCGTCCTCATCCGTGTCATCAGGAGTGAGTGGTGGCGTGCACGCATCCGGCCAAGGGACATTCTGCTTGGCAAGGATGTCCCGCGGGGGCGTGGGGAACGGGAACGACGCAGTAGGAGCTGAGCTCGGAGTGGTGTTGGAATCTTTAAAGCTTTCTGAACCGAATGATGGTAGCGTGTTGGTGCGGTTGGAGGGGAAGTCGGGGGGAGTGGAAAGGAAAGACGACGCCAGACTGTCTGTCACCCAGTCTAACGACCCTCTGTCGGGAGGGCATTTTGCCGAAGGGATGTCAAAAGCGCCACTGTCTAGAGTCAGGGATACAAGCGCAAGAGGGTGTCGAAGTGAGCACTCACCCCAGGCCCGCCAGAGAACGCGGTGGAATAGTAGTACATCGAGTCGCCGCCTTGAATGCGGCAGACAGCAAGCACGCTAGGGATCATGTCGGTAGAGAAAGCCCCATCTCCAACGGTCTGACGACCGTTGCTGCAGAGTTCAAACGTGAGCTGCATGGTTTTTTCTCGAGAAAGTTGGGTACGAACGTGGGGCGAATACTAGACGACGGTTTGGATTGATTTATCATGGTAAAATTCGACATGTGGTGCCAACTTGGTCCTGCGAGTGGCGTCAGAGGCTACCTGGCGGAAACGCATCATCAAAAACTTACAAGTGTACTAGAAATGGGTGCGGGTAGTCTGCGGACGTTTTCGCGACGTGGAGAGATGAAGTGGAAAGACAAGTTAGGAGTGGATAGGGGTCCGGGGTTTTACATATCGGCGGCCGTCGAGACCCCGGAGACTACCCCACGTGGCTGTGCCGCATGCCCGCCCCGAGCGCCCGTCGGAGCAGGTCCAAGTTTGACCACCACCGTGTCTTTTCGACCATCGGAGAACTCTCGGAGAGGACAGTGCTTACTTTCTGAAGCGACTCGAAAGCTGGCCCCTGCTCTTGCGGCAGTACTGCTTGCTAGATTTTCTTTCTGGTGCTCGGCGCTCAGACTCTCCCGAAGGTTGCTGCTCCTGGATTGACCGCTTCGACTCGTGTGTTACATGAGGTCGTCCCAAGGAAACCTTGTTTCGTGTCTAGGCCACCGACTCCGACTGGATGCTCCATGCACTCCCACGTCTGCTGCGGTCCCTTGTCTCACGCTGGCTGAGTGCAGGACAGCTCTGTCTCCGAGATGAACTATTTACGGCACTGCTTTTCGACCGCTGGCAGACTGTCTGAAGCTGAGAGCGGCAGATACTACCAGGTGTCCGACCGGAAACGCAACGTCATGCCGGTCGCTATCAGCCACGCCTTCCCCAACGCCTGACTGGCATGCCCGGGTCCGCTATCGTGTCCCGCATTTGTTTACACGGATTCGAAATGATGTGCGCCACAACGACCCGCCATCGCAATATCTGTACCATCTCCGGGATCATGGGACTCGACGCACTCCGCACGCGCACCAGACGGTCCGCGATAATGCAACTCGTGTTTGTCTGGCCTATACGCATGTGCAAATACAGCCCGAAGATTCCCAGTGTTGCACAGGTCGATCCAGTGTGTCTATCCAGCTTCCTAGGCAAGCGATTCTATATGTGCTGACCTCCACGCCACGCGCTCATGCGTCTAGTCGTCCCCTAGCTCCTCCAGCGCAGCTGACCGATGCGCAGGCCAAGGCCAAGCCTGCGGCTGCTGGAGCGGCGTGTGCGCTTTCGCGATCGACAACGCCTCCGTCAGCGCCCGCACCTGGCCGGGCGTGGTCAGCTTGTAGTTCGCTTTGGACCACGGCCCGTTCGGCCTGTAGGCGAACACCCGCTCTTCCAGCGTGTCCTCGATGTCGGCCGAGAGCGACGTCGGCGACGTGGCGATTGCGCTCAGCGTCGGCGGCACTGGTATCGCGCTGGTCGATTTCGGACGTTCTGCCGCTGCTGCGGTGGACGCGGCAGGGGTAGCGGAGGCAAGGACGGACGTGGAAAGCGACGCAGTCGGCGCGGTAGCGATCGAGCTGTTCGTTTGCAGCGAGACGAGCATCCCACGCTCTGGCTTGATCTCCATGCTCCTGGCTTGTCCGAGGCGGACGATGACTGCGTCGTTCACGTCGTCCATATCCTCGTCCTCGGTCGCGATCGAGCCGTTGTCAGAAGGATCGATGCGCTGTGGTGTCTGGGGCGAGGCGTCGGAGGCGGGCGAGACGGGCGAGGGCGCAGCAGACCGGCGGACGACCTTGCCATCCTTGTCGACCTGGAAAAGGTTCGTGATGGGGACGACGGGCGACCCGGAGTCAAAGGAGACAGAATATCTGTCGAGTGCACACAGAAGCGTGCTCGCGATGTCCACTTCGCTCTCTTGATGGACGATCCCGAGGCCGGCGGTGATCGCGGGACGCCTGGCAGAGCTGGCGAGCTCGGTGCACGAATGTGCCACGGCCGGCAGCTCCTCCTTGACGAACTTCATGCGCACTATCTGGGCGAGCTCGGCCGCTTTCTGGCGCTGGACATGCAAGGAGCGATCGCGGGTGTCCAGGGACGGGCTCGTCGGCGCAGAGGCCGAGGCCGTCATTCCTGGCGCCATAAGATTTCCAAAAGCACGCATAAAGGTCGCACCCAGAGCAGAGGGCGACGAGAATCGACGGGGATCAAAGGACTTGGCGGCCTTCTGAGGCACTTCCTTGAACTCTTGATCGGTGAAGAACCCCTTCACCTCCGGGCTCTGCGGTCTCGGGGACTCGTCGTCCGAGGCAGTCGTATTGACAAGCACGAAATTGCTGAAGCTGTTCGATATGGACAGCGTATTGAGCGTCGGCGCGGAAACGTGCGCCTTCCATGCGGCAGTATCCGAGGCGAATGCGCGGATGTTCTTCGCTCTGCGTCTCCGGTATACCATGGATATTGCGGCAAGGACGCCGAGCAGCGCCGCCCCGCCCACCAACAGGCCTGCGACCAGGCCCACGTTCGTGCCCTGCGTCGGCGTCGAAGCGGCGCCGAAGCCTGGGATGGGAACAGCAGACTCTCCCGATGTGGCGAGTGTGGGCTGGGATCCTGCGGGGACGGTGCCGGCGTGTAGCTCGGGTGGTGCTGTGTACGGCGGAGGTGCGTGGTCGATGCTCTCCGCCGCGGGGCCGGCACCCCTGCGTTCCAGCGACCTGAAATGCTTCACAGAGGTATCAAATCTCCAAATTGCCCCAGGTCTCTTGTCGAAGGATGAGACTTCGTTTGCGAAGCTGGACATTTCGCCCGCGGATGCATGCTGTTCGGTGGTATGGTGCTTCGACTTCGACTTGTTATTGCGGTTACGAGCGGCTGGCGCCATGTGTTGCGGGACTAGTGCGCAGACTTGGTTTGTCGGCGAGTATTCGGGCTTAGGGAAGGGTAGTTTCAGACAGAGTGCCATTTGTTCGTGGTCGTTGTTTTCACTGTTCGCGGCTGACATGGTGGTTGACCTCGGTTGAGTTTCGATTCGGACTTGTATACGTGCTCGCGGTGGTGTAGGCTGTGTTCAAACGTTTAATGCATGCAGCGCAGTCGTGCTCATCGTCGCTGTGCGGCATCCTGCAGCAAGCTTCGTGATCCCACGCAGACAACAGCAAGCTTTTGGGGCGAACTCTACTAGCATGTCACGTGACACGTTCTTTAAATGGGCGTCTTATGCAGACGCGTCGAGTGCGTCGTCGTCGCGACGCAACCTTCAGCTTTCAGCAATATCATCTTCCCGCTTCGCCGTTCGAAAGCGGAAGAGTCTTGAAGATGATACAAATTGCGTACTCTTGAGAAGAAGAAATGTGCGTGGCATTTGTTGGTCGGAAGTGCCGTTACCTGTGCGCTGGCAACATCACGTGCTTTCGCGTATCCTTGTTCTACGCGTGTCGGACAACGATATCACACAGGAGCTCGTGAGTAAATGTGTCATTGTAACTGACTCGCTATGAGTCAATTCACCAAGAAGAGGTCGCGTTCGGCGTTGCGTTCCCCGCCTAGGCACGCGTGAGTTGATGTCGCATTTTTCCGACGCCCACCGGTACCGGGTGTCAATCAAAAACGAAGTATACATATATAAAGACCTGTACAATCTCATGGCCACATTACTCATCTCTTTCCTTCATCTTCCCTCTACGTTTAACTCACCAACAGTCGTTCTTTCATCTTTCATCTCTGGTCGTTTACAATGGCTCGCAACTTTGTGGAGCGGAATGTTACATTCTGGGGCATGGTCGCCGCCGTCATGGCCGCTTTGAAGCTCAAGGACCGCTGGGATGGTTGTCAGTCGTGTGCTCCGCTGAATTATCCTTGACCAGCAGGTTCCGAGCGAAGCAGAAGGCCTCGGCCATGGTCCTGTCGCCTTGCACAGCCCCATCGACCCAGAGTCTGGCAGGCAACTACCTAGCCTTGATATCGATACCGAAATTCCAGCCACTAGACCAAAGCGCAAGCACGCTAGAAACTGCTGTGTCTGCTGCGGTTTCCAGTACGTCTTTCGTTGTATTTGTAATATTGGCGCCTTACGTGGAGCTCCAGGTGCGGTCTTTTCTGGAAGGCCTTTGGCATCGTTTGCTTGTTGTTCCTTGGCTGGCAGGCCATCGAGCTTGCAATCTGGCTTATCACAGTAAGTTATTCGCTGGTGCTTTGCTCCACGCTGCTGACTGCAGCACGGATAGCCCTCCCCGACTGGCCTGGAGGGAATGCCCGCTTACAGCACCTCGCTCGGCTGCGCCGATGCGAGACACATCTACAATCCTGAACAGACTATTTACTCCATTCCTATTGGCGCGGAGGCTGAGCACACTGTGGACATCCAGGGTGGCGCTTTCGGTACACTGCTGCTCGCAGAAGGCACGGCAGATTCCCAAGACATCCAACTCGAGATGATGCTGCGCACCGACAACAGCGCTCTCCTGGACTCCGTCTCTATGCAATACCCGACATCTGAGGATGTTCAAAGTGGTCTTGCCCAGAGCCATCTCCTCCTCCAGACGCCTGCTGTAGGCTCGTCTTGCATGCGCTACGACATGGTTCTGCGTATCCCGCCCAACCTTAAGGACCTCACTGTTATGGCCTCCAGTATCACCCAACTACAGTTCGACAAAGATGCGCACGTCACACTCGACAGCCTGAACATTCGCCTGCAGTCCACAGAAGACTCAGACAAGCACATGTTGCTCCCCAACACCAACTTCCACGCAAAGAGTTTGGCTCTGGAGACCGTCAAAGGCTGGCTCGTCGGGGACATCAGCATCGTTGAACAGGCCTCACTTACCACAAGCCGAGGCGATGCCGTAATGAACGTGCACGTCCATCCTCTAGCCGCTGCTGAATCTGAGTCTGCGGTGCTGAACACCAAGACCGGCAACGGCCGCGCAGACGTCTTCTACGAGAGCGACGCGGGCGTGCCGCACCGCCAGATCCAGAGCAAGCACCTGAGCTCGCGCACTGGCGATCTGTACCTCACGTACAAGGACGCTGAATTCAACGGCCGCGTGGACATGCAGGCCAAGTCGTACTTTACCAGGGGTATGACGCTCAACAACAACCGCACTTCTACGGAGCTGCCTTGGGTCGGCAATAAGGATGGCGGAGACCTGATCCATGCGGAATCCACTCAGGGATGGATTGGGCTGTACTTCTAAGTTGTTTGCCCTCCAGCGGGCCCGGGGCCAGGTTCTGTCGTGGCTATTCGAGCCGCTTTTAATCGCTTTAGCTCGATAGTTTGTCCCGTGGCCCACAATTATTATGCTGGATAGGTTGACTAAAAAATGCTACATCAAAGCGTATACCTTCATGTGTGAGGCCCGTTTGCAAAGCGAAGGGCCATTCATCCTGGAGAGGCGCCAGAATAGGCTTCATCTCCATCAAAGCCGGCATGTCGGCATCCTGCATACCGAGTGGCCGAGTGGCCGACCCGGCCCTGCGCTTTTGCGCTTTGAATCTGGCATAGACCACCGCCCCCTCCTGACGATGAGCTCACGACTCTGGTTGCAATGCGCTCGGCGACAGCGAGCTGCACTCTTTAGTTCCAGATCACAAACTTCGCAGCGACTGGCATCGACCAGTGCGAACCCCTACCCGTACCCTACGAACCTAAACCCGACACCACACCAAATCTTTCATCTTCCGAGGAGCTCGACAAAGGCTGAGGTCAAAGCGAGATGTGCGTCGCTCGCAAAGATATCTGAGCTTACATGTTGAGCAGCAGATATGCAGACTATGAGCTTGTACGCATATACCACCCCGATTCACCCGTGAGCCGACCGTTATCTCCGACGACAGCCCAAGCCCGCTTCCAGGCCATTACCGCCGCGTATGATGCTCTCCGCGGGAAGAGACCCCTGGATTTGGAGCCTGGGGAGCCCGAACGTCCCCGAGCGGACTTCCACGACCTCAGCACAGCGATGTGGAAGGCGAGGCAACGGCGGCGCGCGGAGTTGAACGTCGGGATGGACGAGCGGTGGAAAGACCGATTGATGATGGGTGCAGTCGTTGTAGTGAGTAGCCTGTTGAATATTACAGAGCAGGTGGGTGTGATAATCTTGTACTGTAGGCCGTGGCAGCGTTTGTCGCACAGACATATTCGACCCGGACGCAGGCACTCAGTTCGTCCCTCGAGACAAGACGACCCGCGATCAAAACACACTCGAGAAACGACGATGTACTCGCTTTGACAGCCGCTGAAGGCGATGTTAAGTAGCTGACCTGGCCATACTGACGTACAGCCCGGGATTGTCCCCGTGGACGGCCCCCTCGCGGCTACCAGATCTATGACGGTGATTGACACGGCCGTGATGTCACTACCTCTTCGTCCGAAACGAAATGGCTTCGACTGGTGGTAGGCAATTCGAACCCAGCAGCGTAGAACTCGGCGACGGAACAGGACACAACGACTGGTTGACCTCGTCGTAGGTACCAAATGCATACAGATATCATGTATACTCGCTATCTGTAAGTAGAATCTACCTGGTAGATGGTGCGGATGATCAATATTCGATCAATGCTTGGCCCTTCGGAACATGGATGCCCCAGATTCGTCATGAGACTGCCACCAGTGCTTGGAGAACAGTTACGTAGAGCTACATTTGCGTCAGTTCATGCACGGGCTGTGTCCGTTTGAAATACACTAGTGTCCGCTCGTCAAACATTCCTGATGCACCAACCGAATGGGCAGATGTCGCCCAGCTCGGTGGGGCACTATCCAAGCAATGTTAAAGCGATGTCTAGGTTGCTCCATCTCCGAAAAGATAATCCGGAGACGTCACTCTCTCACGTCATAGTGTTGATAAGATTGCAATGCAATGCCACGCTAGATTTTGTTAGGGTCGTTTGGTGCTCGCGGAGTAGAAAGGGCATACTGCTGCCTTCAGCGTGTCTGGCTTGAAAAGGGCAGGCATTTGTGTATCACGAACTTCACTTCATTCATTTCCCCTCTCCCAGCCAACTCGTGAGAGTTGCTACATCAATGAAAAATGCTCGACCTAGTAGCACTTCTCGGTGATAGGTTCCGACAAGCAAACGAGGCCAGCCTGTTTGCTCGCCCGCCCAGCGGTCTCGCTTGCTGCCACTATGCAACCTATTTCCGCACCCTTCCTCTCACAGCCCGCTGCAGCCTGCTGGTCTACAGCTTCGCCCGATTTCATTTCGAGCGCGACGTTTATCTCATTCCAGAGTCTAGACCCGCTGCGGTCACAGCGTGCCGCCAACTTTAGCTGTATCTAGCACCTCCCGCCCTGGCTACCGTGCGGGCTTTCATTCCAACGATTCGCAGGGCGCACAGCTCCTCGCAGGTTCTTATGAAGAGCCCTCCAAGAGAAGTGGACGACTTCATTTTGGCTCTGCAGCTGTTTGGAATTTAGGCACGTTTCCAGACGTTTCTCGAAGGCCTAGAAGTGTACCTAGCCAGTTGCGGGTACACGTGCTGGTGTGAGACTGATGCAGATAGAACATGGTTATTTTTTGCGAGCAGCTTTTTCGGTTCGGGTTACTAAGGAGGAGGCTGTGAGACGCAGCACGAGCTTGCTGCATGACGCGATACGCATGCTCCGTGCGGACCGTGCACCACTGACCGCAGAGATTGCGTGGCAGGAGCCGCAACTGCGGATACCTCGGCACTGTCGAAACTCCCGTAAACAACGTAGACTGCAAGGAGAGTACTGTCGACGTCATGCTTGAGGATTTTGGGAGCAGTTGTAGACGGCGAGGACGCTGATACGCGGACGATGTGCGAGTGTCCGACCGGCAGTAGGAATGTTCATGGAGCGGAGCTGGATGGCGCGTCACGCGATCGATGTGACGTCACGCGTCCGTTCAGTCGGTTCATAAGGGCAGACTGCGGTCCCACCTGATTGCACCTTTCCCTCCTCCCCCTTCGTCCCAGGAGTCGAGAGCCCCTTTTCTGTCCTAACGAATCTCTTTGCGCAAATCCGTCGCCATCATGGCATACAGCTGGACAGATAACATCCTACTCAAGGTATGTGTATTGCTCAACCTCGACGTTCGTCGCTGACAGGTATGTAGCTTGCAAATGTCTTAGTTTACTTCTTGTTCCTGGGCTCCAACGTTTATACCGTTGCCGGCCCAAATGACATCTACTACACCGGCAAGGACACTTATATTACTCCCGCACCATGGGCATTCCTCATCTGGTGAGCCTAAAGCACATGCTTCCATCGTGTACAAGTTGCTTACCACCATTGAATAGGTCCCTCATCCACCTCTTACTCCTCGGCACCATCATCTACCAATTCACTGAAAACGGTCACCGCACCGTCGTCGACGGCATCTCATGGCGCTTCCCTCTACTCGCCGTTCTCAACATCGTCTACGTAAACTTGTGGTCGACTTCTCATTATATCATTGGTACGTCATCATTTGCGTCATGGCTGTCACCGTCACATCTCACCTACTATTCTATACAGCCTTCATCTTCGCGCTCCTCGTCTCTTCGACTGTGACACACATCTACTACATCGTCAAGAAGTATCACGAGCCCGCTAGCGTCTCTGATGAGCTCTTCGTCCACCTTCCCTTCTCCCTCTACCACGGTTGGACCACTGTCCTTGTCGTGCTCTCCGCCTTCACTGCCTTCGGCACTGACCTACACTACTACCACGCCGGTATTTGGACCAAGGTTTTCGTCTTCCTTGCGTTCCTCTTCCTTGAGTCCACCGCTGCCACCTACGCCTTCACCTCTCCGGAGGGCGACCTTCCAGCCGGCATTGCCATTGCTTGGTACCTCTGGGCTACCTTCGTTCACCAGACGCACGACATGTTCGTCCACTGGAGCGCTCTCGCTTTCGCCATCCTCGCTACCCTTTTCGTTGGCAAGGCTGTCATTGCTCTCGGTATCAAGATCTCTCGCGGTGGAGGACAAATCTCCCTTGACGAGGAGCGCGCTCCTCTCGTCGGCGGCAACTAAGGTGCACCAGGAAGGTTCCGCAGTGTCGGGTCTATGGTAGCCATGCGAGAGGTCTTCGCGGCTGTACCCATCTCAAGAAGCTCGACGTGCGGATGTCACGTTCATGACGGATGCTTGTTATGAAATTGGCACGGACACACGGAATGAATCACACACATGCTTTCCTCATTGCTCCATCAGTACTTAGCTATTGTTCGGTATCTGTATATTAGCCTCGAAGCTTCATTTGCAATCATAGTTGTCGATTAGGTTTGCACTCTCATCGCCTGTCGGTTGGGTACACAAGCCAGCAGGCAGCAACTGGCTAAAAATAGCTCCTATTTGGGTGTCGCGAGTTCAGAGGGTTCCCGCCGAGCATGCTTGCGGCTTGTTCTCTGTTTTCTTTCTTCCTCTCAGCGCAAAGAGTCTGGTTGGAATGGGAAACGAATGGAGTTAAAAATTAACTTGAAAGAGAACAATCTGCAGAAGCAGCATAACCAAGAACGCAACATACAAGGTAATGCTTAGGTGACCTGCTGCAGGGCGCAGAGTGGAGAGCGTTCCGAGTCGAGTTGCGCATGGACTGGGCTCGAGCCCGAGCCATCGAGCTATCAAATCGCTTTGAGGGATTCTTTGAAGGGTAGAAAATGCTGTACGCGCCATTGTATACATGGCCATCGTGCTGGGTGGGTTGGAACATGCCATGATTTTCCAATCTTGATACATCCGGATGTATATCCAAGTCAGTGACATCAGTAGCCACAGCATATGGTCTACACTGTTACCTGTGGCTCGAAAAGACACCAGCTCGCTCGACACCGCGCCCAGTGTCCCACTACTCAGCTGTAAAAGGTATGGTCCCGGCAGTATTCAGCCCAGCGACCTCTAGCAACGATACTTTATTTTTGCTGGTCCTCTGTGTGGATATTAGGCTAGCCCGGTAGGGGGGCCCGAGGAATGGGGCCAATAATGTTTGGAGCGCCGTTCGGCCACGATCTAGCCAAATTGCGTTTGGATGAGCGGGCCAGCCTCAGCCGGAGGAGCGAGACGCGTGCAAGGCACCGGGCGAAGCATGCGGTAATATTAAAAATGATCCGCGAAGCCGAGTCGCTTTCCCACGGTGAGTTGAGCGTTGACGACCGTCAATTCTGCACCGGGAGCTGCCCGTGCTTTGCCGGCGGTATTCTGGGTACGAGGTTAGCTGGCGCAAACAACGGCAGAGCACGAATGTGTCTGTGCACGGTGTAGACTGCAACTGTTTCGGGTAGGTACTACTACCGACACTAATTCTTGCTAAAGATCCGATCTCTAACACTTTCCTGGAGAATAGCCTCAAGCTCGCCGGAAGCTCCTATATCGAATGTTTTCCAAGCAGGGAACATCATTGAAATCGTCAAACCTTCCACTGTGTTTGACAGGGACGCCAGCGTACGATCGACCGCTGTTGTCGAATCCCTGAGTGAGCACATGCGCAAGAGGCAGCGTGCGTCGGCTTAACGGCGTTTTTGCCCCCCGTTCAGATTTGCGCATGGCAAGAGATCTCCTAGAGACGATTTGCCGATAGACTCCCATTACACAGGGCCCCCGCGGACAGCATCCTGGGCACTATCTGCGGGATTTTGATAATCGTGTGACCCAGATTCCGATTGCAGCAGAATCTGAGCGCTCCTGTCCAAAATCCGTTCGATTTTTGTCTGATTACACTTTTGGCTCTGCTGTAATCACTATCAGCCGGATTTGGTATATCTCGCAATCCGATTCTTAGTTGAAAGCTTTTCCGCATGGTACGAAGCGGGATACACCCGTGTGAGGCCAGAGGAGCACAGAGGTACATTGAAGGCCTATGGGCAAGTTCCCTCTAGTAACCTGTTCCTCGCTTCTCTAGTTGCCCCTGCCACCTCGCATCTACCGCCTTCCGAACTGTCTCCTAGTACAAGTGAGGGCCTATACTGCACCAGGGCGGCCCGTACTGTGATGC